CAGGTGTGACAGAGAAATATTGATCACACCTACCTTAGCCAGAGTGAGTATGTTCGCAATCAGATCAAAACGCTTTTCTTTTGGCGTGTCCTCACGACGCAACAGTTCCCATTCGGGGAGCAATTTCATCACAGTCTCTGAATGTTTCTTCGATTTTAGTTTCAACAGTCGTCGTTCTTTTTTGGTCAGTTTACCTAGAAAGAAATAAGACATGATCGGAACTTAAGCATGGGTACACATACATACACACACACACACACACACACGAGAGAGAGAGAGAGAACGTTCAACACTGATTGAAATACGATTATCCGATTGTAGACAAAAGACCGGGTAACTTACGCTTTTCCTTGGCGTTTTGCGTCTGAAGAAATCCATTGATTGATCAAAGCAGCATAAAGAAAAACATAATTTATCGAAACAAACCTCTTTACGATTTCTCGCATTGAACAGTTTCTTTTTCGAAGCGGCGAATTTATTCTGTAAGCAAAAGAAGGAAATACCAGAAAGCATAGTTTATCCATTGCATATGAACATCATAAATTTGGTGGCAGTTTATCAACTGCCATCAGACAGTTGGTATATTAATATAGCACGATTATAATCGAGTTTGACAGTATGAACAATCTCAGCGAAAACTACTTTCCCCGTTTTGGTTGTCTCCCTGAAAAGGATAAACCGATTCCAGGAAGATAAAAAAAACTTCATACGGGATCCGTACAAGAGACGTCTCCAGTGACACTCAGTTTTTCGCAACCCAGTCTGATCTGTAAGGAAGTAGTGTCGGCGGATTGTGTCGAAGGCTCCTCAGGAGCGCATTTGTCACTCAGTAGATGTGAATGTGGCTCAGAGATCAAACCGTCATTATTGCAAGGTGAACAGGGTTCCATTATAGTCGTTAGATTAGCTAGTAGATATTGTCCGTCCACTAAGCAGTAACTGTCTTCGCATGCCGTAGGCTACCGCGCAGAGGGTCTTAGGTTTCGGTGACCTTCCACCTTGATGATAATATCTGCGAAGCAATTCGCCGGGATGTGACTCCGATGCACGCCTCAGCTTATTGGAGAAACGAGTGAGAGTTGCGCTGTCCCAAGGGGCACGACAGTTTTCCAACTCCCATAAATCGATGATGACTATGTCGTTCAATTTAGTTCAGTTCAGGGCGGACTCTGCCGATTCAACGGGTGGATTTCTGGTTCCCCGGACGGTGACAACCACGATGAGTGTGAGTTACTTTTTAACTTACCTTGATTATCAGAGAACTCCTGAACACCGAACCTCTTTTCCTCAGAAAACTTAGTCAAACTTGAGAACCGATAAATTGGTTTTATTAATCATCCTTCAGGTTGAACAGGCAAATCTTCTGTTCATCCAGTCGATTATCTAATCCGTAAGCATTGGGCTTAAAGTTTACTCTTGATAAAACCCATCAGTCGTGTATATCTGCCGACAGATACGAGATCCGACCTCTTCACTGAACTTCAAAAGTGAAACTCGAATCTATCGCTTTTCTAAGCTTACAGTTGATGGTAGGAAATGAAGAGGAAGTTTAAGACAACCAGCGATCATCATTATTCTCATCAAAGTACAGCAGAATACAGTGAGGCGAACTTCACTGATCAGTGCCAAATTCATAATGCATACCAGATAAGTGAGAATGTAATGACGATAGAGATTGGGTGCATTTTAGGGCCAGAAAAAGAAAGCAAAGCTCCGCGGTCATTACACAGAGTACACAGTCCAACTGTGCATACACATTATTGTAAGCACTCTGGACTAATACAGCGTGACAACAAGATCACCAATGCTTATTGGGTTGCTGCCATGACCTTCAGTGTCTTCAACCATCCAGCAGCGGAGGCTTTGGGACCTCAACCCGAGAGACCCTATTTTACCTAATCGTGTCGTGTATCATTCGCGTCTTTACACGAGATTCACAATTTGTTACACATAAAACACCATCCATCGTACGAGATAAGACAATCACATGCATACCTGTAGTTTCAATGGTTTGGATACGATCGATTCGTTCACAGATGGTCCAGATTTATGCTCTGATTTGCTTTTCCGTGCAGCAGAATCATCCGTCCGGGACGGCTGGAATAACGAACCACACACACACAAAAAGCATTCATTCATTAAAAGACCAATAAGAGAATGAAACCTCAGATCGTGCCAAACGACATTAGACAATAGCGAACGAACAATCGATGGAGTAGCACCAAATTTTGATCGACAACCAAATTACTGCATCAGCTACCTGACAACCAAGTAAAGAGTGAATCAGTTCTGAGCTATTCTAGGTCACAGGCCATCGGTACAAAGGATGTGAGCATACAGGCCCCGTTTCTCACGTGGCTCCATCTAATTAGTTGATAGCGGGATAAGATGCGCTCTTATCTCCTGTCCGTCTCTATTTGAACTATTTCCACCTCGTATACGATTTTCAATTGGAAAGCGTATCACCCTAGAAGTTCAACAATATTGAGGTGAAAATAGGCTGTGAGATGTAACGGACATCAGTGGTAGCTGTGAGCTAGCAGATTATCGTGTCTACTTACTCCTACTTGGTCTACACCACATATGCAATTGTCGCCTGTGGCCGGAAGAAGCTGAGACATGCATTAGCAGCTGCATTCCGGTAAACCGTTCAACATGCGGGCTAAACCAGGGTGAGAGTAGCCAACGCAAGTCTCGGTGAGACGGCCCATCACGTGCGAAGACAGATGCTGATCAGTGGACGGATGAGGAGGGTTTCTGGCC